AACTTTGCAAGATAATACTCTGGACAAATTAAAAGTTTGTTTTTGAACATTGATTTTAAAGAGAAAAAAAAGTTTTTGTTTGTTATTCTGTCTTGCAAAAGATTAACATCCTTAAATATTTGACACAATCCTGAACTTTTTTTTTTTTGGGGCGGGAAATATTTAGAGGTACGGGGCAAATATTTTTAAAATATTTCTATAATCGTCAGTTATTAATATTGTTTTCGCCATTTTGTTTGTTTATAATACCGATAACTTTAAACGTTTTATACAATTTTAAATGGCCGAGATTATATATTTTTATAGAAAATTTACAGTATATCGTTGTTTTATAGCACAATTAATCAAAAGTGTGTCGCGCATTTTTTTAAAACTTAATTTTAATAAAAACATGTTTATCTACCCATCGTTGAAAGGACCATTTGACATATTTTACGCCTTCGCGACTATCAATTGATGTAATTTGATATTCACTTACTTATTGAAATATCGGCTTTGGAAATCAATATGCTTTCCTGGATATTTTACTCTTTAGGCTGTTGTAACTTAAACTATTTAATATAAGAATAAAGAAAATATAATAAACATTTAAAGGTTTAGTTAGACTAACGTTCTTTCTATTTGTAAATAGTATTTAGTTTTTGGTACTCACTTCTGTCTTTTAAGTGATTTGAATTTAAGAGTAAACAATTTACAAAACAAAATTGTGTTATCATACTTTATTTTTGACACGTAAACAAAAAATATAAAGGTTATCAAACGACGATCAAAACATAAACATTCAGTAGTGACGTCAGCGATGATGATAAGGCAAAAGTTCTTCTAACAAAGATAATTCTATAACTGAATAATTTATGATAAATTTTGGATTATGAATTTCATTACCCGGTAAATTTTTGCTTTCATGATGTGATACCAGTATATATATATAATTAGAGTTATAATTATCTATTAAGTAGCAAGTTTTCAGAAATATATTCGGAAAAAATATATATATATATTTTTGCCTGCGCATATTATTGCGCTAATTTACATACTCAGGAATCGAAACTAAGGCAGCGAATTCTTGTCCTAACTATATCAAGGTAAAATTCAACCGGTAACGTCAAGTATTGTGTGAAATTTTATTAGTAACAAACACACAAAATTATTTTTAATTATATATAAATTAATGTGAAAAAATGGTACAAATGTAATATTGTACTGGGATAAGGTGCATAAATTAAGAAAAAGGCATCTCCTTATCGTGCAACTGAAAGTTGCTGATGGCTTGCGCCATCTATCGGAATAAATATCAACTATTCTCGTTGATTTTTAATTATTCCAGAATTGGCCAATACATTCTTAATGTATGCACCTTATCCCAGTACAATATTACATTTGTACCATTTTTTCACATTGTGTAGCGTTCTCACGCAATTCTGGCCTTAACTACCCGTTTCATGATTTTTCAGGATGCCTTAATGACCAATTTTTTTGGTCGTTGAGGTACAGCTTGCACCACGCTGATGAGGGCCAACAGCCCGAAACGCGTCCGTGGTTAGCTTTTCTTGATTAATCAATAATGGGTATTTGGCCAATTCTGGAATAATTAAAAATCAACGAGAATAGTTGATATTTATTCCGATAGATGGCGGAAGCCATCAGCAACTTTCAGTAGCACGATAAGGAGATGCCCTTTTTCTTAATATAAATTAATGTGAAAAATAGTACAAAAGTGAAACTGTACTTGGATCATGTAGATAAATTAGATGCCTTTTTTCCTTAATATAAATTAATGGATTTTTAACGTTTTTTCTTCATTTGAGGAATTCTTGCATAAGACGAAATGTATCATATGTAAATACCCGTATTTTTATTCTTTAAATATTATTTTATTTTTATATTTTATTTATATTTACCATACAAATCTGTGTAGGAGTTTAATTTTCATATATATTTGTATAATCTGCTTCATTATATATCATTAAATGTAAATAGGCTTTAATTAATTACTCTTTTCATTTGCAGAATCCGTGGCGCAAATCCATGTATAATGAGAAATATATATATGAGATAATAAAACATTTAAGCACGAAAGTTTCTTTTTACACCTAAATCAAATTTCTACTGTCCTTATTGCGACGAAAAAAAAAATATTGGGAGGGCTTGGTATTTGTTTTAAAGTTCTGGGGGGATAACGTATCTCTTTAATCTTTTCTAAAAATTGTCTTTAAATAAAATAATAATAATAATATTAAATAATAATAAAAGACTAGTTGCACAACAGAGTTTTATGGCAATTCTCCAGGGAAGAAAGAAAAGACTTCTGGAAAGAAAATGGCCGGAACTGTTTAATTTGTAAGGATCTCATGGATGATAATTTGGTTCACTATTTCTTCCAATGCCCTCTCTTAACAGAAAAACGTACTGAAATTTTCCCAAGCCCTAACTCTGGTCAATTTAGATACCATCGCATATGTCAACTTCTCTCTTCAGCTGTGGATGATGAATTACTGATTGTTAGATACTTTAAGTTCTGCACAGAAGCTGGGCGCATGAGAAAGAATGCAGTGCAAAGGATACTGGAGGATGACCTATTTGTAAATAGGTAACTGAATGTGAGACAAACCTTATTTTGATGTAAATGTTTCCTCTTCCCTCTCCTCTTGTTGACGTGTAAATACGGCGAATCCTATATGGGGCGGAATGCCCTTAATAAAGGCTTTTGTTGTTGTTGTTGTTGTATTAAATAATAATAATACAATAAAGTTGTAGTTTTTAAATCAAATAAACTACACAACAAGAAAGAAAGGAAACATTTAGCTTGCGGTATGTCTAGGCAAAGCCAAGAGTCCGTGGACCTCTAAAACGGATCGCTCTGGAAGCAGAATGGCCAGCCTCCCAAGACTACAGTCCATATACCGAGTCTCCGTATAACATTAGTAACAGGGATCCACGGAAGTATTTCGTGCCAGGCTATACAGGCTACGTCCCTGGTCTACGGTTTGCTACAGGGGTGACATATGGCTTGGCGACCAATCACGGACTCTGTCGCTTCACTCAGGCATTGGACGAGAGACGGGCCTCTGGCTCAAGACCTGTAGTCCACGATTGGCATCGGCCTGACGCCAAAGAACAGACAGATCGACCTCATCTTGTCCTACCCAACCATGTTCTGCCCTTCATGGATACTGGCTGTCTACCGAAGTACACCGGCTATGTCCCAGGTATAGATATCTACTTATCTACATATTATAATGCTTTAGAGCGCCATCTGTTATGAAAATTCGAAACTATTATAGATGCGAATGATTCTTTTTAAAAAATTATACAATTTCTACTGTCCTTACTGCAATATGAAAAAATTAAATGGGAGGGCCTGGCTCATCAGAGGGTTCACTACTAATAATGGATAATTCTAACGTCTTTAATTAGAATAATTTATCTTGGTCTCTATAATTTCCAATAAATAGAATTTCCGTTTTTATTTCGAATTTTTGGTGATTTCAATTTTTTTTTTGTCCCTTGGGTTTCGAATTATCAAATTTTGACGGTATATGGAAATTTTACCGGGAGGATATTCATCTATAAAAATAAATGTCAAAATTTTTACGGGAAAAGCTACCTTTACTTTATATATATAAATGAAAAATCACAAGGGAAAAAAATAAATAATAGCAACATAAAGGTAACCCAGGTTCCTGTAACGTATCCATAGATCGCCAACTAAAAATAAATTTAAAAAAAATATATGCAGTTAAACCTGTCTATAGCGCCCCCTCTTGGGACCTCTTGGGAGTACACCTATCCCCCGATTTACACGGTACTTTTTTACACGTTTTCGCTTTTACACGGTTTTCCAAATAAGTTTTTTTTTTCTTTTTTTTTATCGCACTATACTAAATGCTACTGTGATTGAACACATGCGCTGTGTACACATCTCACGAGGAATCCCGAGCTTATGTGCTGACTACATATTTTAACCTGTCAATGCATTTTATATTTATTTCTGTGTGCACCTATCCCCCGATTTACACGTTTTTCTCAGGAACGTATCTACCGTGTAAATCGGGGGATAGGTGTACTATAGAGAGGGGGTGCTATAGACAGATCACTTTTAATGTAAATCGCATCGTACTACGTATTTAAAATCGGGTGCTATAGAGAGGGAGGCGCTATTTAGAGGGGGCGCTATAGAGAGGTTTAACTGTTTATTCTTAAATTTTTTCACACAACGATAGAAAGTGCTAAGTTTCTGATCACATTTAATGACGAATATATTTTACCATCTCTTATCACATTAAAGAAGAAAAAATTAAATGTTTCCTTTATTCGCCACCCTTTTTGTTCCCTAATTGCTTCTAAAAATCCATTACATAAAAAGAGGAAACTTTAAAAAAAAGCACGCACACAAACAACCCGCACAAATCCTATTTACACAAATCCTTAAAACCAACAAAATGATTCTCATCAAACTCCCTTCCACACCACAATCACTCTAATTAAAAAATAAAGGAAGATTAAAAAAACAAATATTTAATTTTCCTCTCTTACTCTCCCAACAATTTATAAAGAATATATATTTATTTAAAATATAATTTTCCAATATATTCAGATATCGTTTCCATAAAAATAAAAAAAGCATTTTAAAAAATCTATATCTCTTTCTAAAAAGCGTAAAATAAATTATATTTTTATAGAAATATGAATGTTGTGAAAAAAAGTAGGAATAAGAAGAAAAAAAATCGATATTTATAAATTTTTTTCTGCTTATCCCTAGTACACGTGGTACAGGCCATGATAATCATGGTGGGTAGAAGTAGACGACTGCTTTTACTGTAAGTGCACTACATGTCTACACATGTGAAAAGCAGTTCGACTTTGCACTTACAAATGTGCCAGAGCCCCGTTTGGTTACTTGCACTCGCTGGTGAGGGATATCTACTTATATAATTGCCTTATTCTGTCTGTGTGAAGTTCACTGTGTGAAGTTCACGGATAGATTTTGGTCAGAATGGATAAAATAAAATGGGAATCGAACCCACGACCTTCCGCTTACCGGGCAGATGCCATGACCACTAGACCACAATTTATAATTGTAACAAATAGTATTTGAATCAAAACATTCAATCGGGTAAAACACGGGCGTTGCCCGGGTCATTCGGCTAGTTTATAATAAACAACATAATCGAATTTTAAACTATATTTTTAAAAGTTTATATTGAAGCTTCTCCAAGTATTTCAACAAATTGGACCGATTTCATAATTCATCTCATAGGATGTTATAAAATCGAAGCCGTCCCTGTACTGATGAGGGCTATAGCCTGAGACCATGGTATACAGGTTGTTGGTGTTTTGTCTGTATTTTCCAAAACTGGTGTTGAGGTTCATTCTTTATCATTAACAGTATGTTCTGTACTGGGATGATAAACAAAATATTTGTGATAAAACAATACAAAAGTAAAATTGTACTGCTATCAGGTGAATAAATTAAGAAAAAGGCATCTCTTGATCGTACAACTAAAAGTTGCTGATGGTTGGCGCCATCTGTTGGAATAAATATCAAATTTTCGTTGAAATCAACGAATCTCTATATATAAAATTGAATGTCTGTCTGTTTGTCTGTACTCTATAGATTCAAAAACCATACATCCAATCGCCGTGAAATTTTGGGATATTATTAGGTATATTAGGGAAGGTTTTTGAAAAATAATTTCATGAACATCTTGAATATCCTTAGAGTTATTTGCAGATTTGTAGATTTAACTCGCAAGCAGCGCCCCCATTGTGACGATGATAACAAGTTTTCTTATCACTAAGTTTGTTATCTTAAATATTATTTATCAAAAGTAAGATTATCTCAGGATGACACGGCAATGTGACACGGGAAAAAAATGTTCACTAGATAAAACTATGATTTTCTAATGTAGAAAATTAGGAAAGACAAAAGGCACACAGGGACCGGGAAAAAATGTTCACTTTATCGAGAGATTCAAATTTACGAGTTTCAAATAATCAAAATATATCTTTTTTTTTAAATAAGTTTTTAGAGAATTGTTTTAACAAATGTTCGCTAGACAAACCTTTACTCGGGTAAAACCCCGGGCGAACCCGAGTACGTTTTATAAGTTTATAGAGAATTGTTTTAACAAATGTTCGTTAGACAAACATTCACTCGGGTAAAACCCGGGCGAAGCCGGGCACATCCGCTAGTAATTGATATTTATTCTGACAGATGTGGTGCAAGCCATCAGCAATTTTTAGTTGTAAGATCAGATGTCTTTTTCTTTAAAAAAATGCTTTTTAATGCATTTTAAAAACAACATAATAATTTTATAAAAATCAAATCTAACAACAATCTTACAACAAATTAAGGTTATCCGAGTTCCGCCATACACCAAGAACAAACAACCTCATACAGTCTCTATAGAAATATAATTAACAGGAATGTAAAAACAATCTCAATTTAAAAACAAATCGCATTTAAATCCAAGATTTTAAAGTAACAAATTCAATTTTGTTTTTAAAAACTGACCATATTGATAACAAACTGTTTTATTTCAATTTGCATATCCATATTTATATGCAAACTTTACTATTGGCTAGGTATATTTCTCGCCATATCAAAGACTTCCAGGAGTTCGTGGAAATTGGTGCGATTGCTGGATCACTTTTAAATCATCGATAGCATATATGATAATGAGTTTTTCAAATATCGGATTTAAGACAGACAATTTTCTGGTCTTATAAACTAGGTCTTAAATCGTTATTAAGAGACCTTCCTGTCTTATATCCAGAATATTTCCTTGTTAGATACAGAGACGGATTGGAAAAGAGCAATGGAATTTGCAAAGTATAATGGCAGAGGGTAGTTTCAGAAATATATACAGTCTTAGATCTATACAATTATATATACATACTGTTTATATATATATATATACAGTTAAACCTGTCTATAGCGCCCCCTCTTGGGACTCACCAAAATAGGGTGCTATAGAGAGGGGGTGCTATAGACAGGTCACTTTTAATGTAAATATCGCATTGTACTACGTATTTAAAATCGGGCGCTATAGAGAGGGGGCGCTATAGACAGGTTTAACTGTATATTGTCACCGACCCGATGCCGCTAGTTGCGGCGACGGTCAATAGATGGCGTCAGATTCTGACGTTTATTTTGACGGGAGAAGCGCCCATTGCTTCTATGGATTAATTTCCTCCCGGAAAATTTTCCATATATATATATTGTCACGTATAAAATTAGAAAAAAAAATAATCCTCAGAATGACACAGCCATTCATTTTTAATGCCAAAAACAAAATTTATAAAATACCAGAGAGACAATGATGGAAGTTTTACAGAGAATAACAAAATATAAATCCACCAAAATTAATATAATCTGTTCATAGAATACTAAATATTTTGTGCTACAATATATAAACTGCTTATATCAGATTTAATATGAATTTAAATGGTGCATACGGGAGAATATAAATTATTGTTGTTGTTGTTGTTGTTGTTTAATATGAATTTATATTGTGGCCGCAATATTTCGAGGGGCAAATCGCTTTTCTTTAGCGAGTTTGTTGGTGATTTACAAATTATTTTTTATTCAAATTACAAGCAACCTCGATATTGTAATGATTCCATATGCAAATTTTATTCTTAAAGAAAAAATGCAGCATATATGTAGATATGTATTAATTTTCTGATAGAAAATGAAATATGTAAAATGATTGGATGTATATAGAGTGTAAGAGGAGGGCGAAATTATCTTTTTTTATAGAAATAAATGGTTTATATCTTATAGTGTTCGTCAAGTGCTATTTTTGTTAGGTAGAGAACACAACAGATATATTAAATACAAATATCGTAAATATATAGGCTGCCTGGCCGGAATTCATAGTTATTCAAATTAAAGATACTTGGTACTCCATGTTAGGAGCGGCTGTACATGGTGTTTGTTCCTCATGTAAGAGGCGGCTATTTCATATTGTAGCTAAGTCGGCCTGCCACTGAGTAGTGCTTCCAGTCTTAATGACAAAGGCAGATGCATTCTACTTCACCCAATCATGATGGTTGTCAACTTTACAAGCTTGATACCGTAATATGATTGAGTGGAGATAACAAAGAAGAAGATGATACTTCGGCCAGTAAATCTTTTTTATTAAAGATTTTTGTCGAAACAATAAAAAAGATTTACTGACCTAAGTATCTTTAATTTGAAGAACAATATAAGTACTTGTTTGTATTTATAGAATCTGATTCCAAAATCACTTTATTAGGTACCGCTCAAAAAGAGCAACCTAGTTTATGATATTTACAACAATGAATAATATATGAAGGTTATTCCCATATTAAAACAAAGTGTCTAATGCGGGATTCAATCCCAGTTCATGGCTTACGGGAATCGAGGATGTTACCCACTCGCCCACCGACTCTTATATAAAGAAACTAGCGGATGTACCCGGCTTCGCCCGAGGTTTTACCCGAGTAAAGGTTTGTCTAACGAACATTTGTTAAAACAATTCTCTATAAACTTATTTTAAAAAAGATATATTTTGATAATTTGAAACTCGTAAATTTGAATCTCTCGATAAAGTGAACATTTTTTCCCGGTCCCTGTGTGCCGTGTCATCCTGAATTTTGTTTCATAATTTTCTACATTACAAAATCATCGTTTTATCTAGTGAACATATTTTCCCGGTCCCTTGAAAAATACTCGATAAGTTGAATAAAATCATGGTCGTGAATCTCTCGATAAAGTGATTATTTTTTCCCGGTCCCTGTGTGCCGTATCATCCTGAATTTTGTCTTTCCTAATTTTCTACATTACAAAATCATCGTTTTATCTAGTGAACATATTTTCCCGGTCCCTTGAAATATACTCGATAAGTTGAATAAAATCATGGTCGTTTATGGAAGATGGACGTAGTTCCCGGAGGTCACCCGCGAGGCTTTTTTCTTGTGAATATATACTATTCACAGCACAGCTGTGTCACCAACTCTGCCCCCGCGCGCCAGGACCTCTTGATCCCTCTGATTGGTCGGTGGGAACTTGGACTGACTGGCCGGACGGGGGGCGGGGGGGGGGCGGACAGATCTAAGCCTATCTCCGTCGCAAGGTGGCGCTGCTTGCGAGTTAAAGCTACAAATCTGCAAATAACTCTAAGGATATTAAAGATATTCAAGAAATTATTTTTCGTAAACCTTTCCGGAGATACACCTAATAATATCCCAAAATTTCACGGCGATTGGATGTATGGTTTTTGAATCCATAGAGGACACACACACAGAGAGACATTCAATTATATATATATATAGATAATATGGATTGCTGTCAAAAAAAAATATATATATATATATATAAACACTCACAGACAAAACTTGAGGTGGAAAGTCTTTGATATTGCAAACATGACGCTGGTTAAAATTACTTGTAGTGATACAAGTTGGCTGTTAACTTGTGAAAAGAACATCTTTTTTTTTTCTTGTCCCAGGTCTGGACTTCAAGTCTAGACCAGATCCTAAAGGCCATGCCTCTTTATCGCCTCGATGACCACAGCTGAGTCGGTGTAGATGTCTGTTCGGCAATGCCCGATGCATTGCATGATGTGTTCTGGGTTCCCTGGAGAATCCTGACATTTGGTTCAATTCGGAAAAGTTTTGGATCCACTTGTGAAAATCATTGGACGTAGATGACCTGTTCTAAGACGAGAAAGCATGGTGAAGTCTGATCTGTTAAGTTGTGAGTTGGTTTTCAGGAGGGGAAAAAAGAACATCTTAGATTTTGATAGATAGAAAGATACGTCAGTTCGAATTCGAGCAGCCGTCATGATTTCGCGTTTCTAACTTTTATATCTTCGAATTTTTGATCGGGTTTGTGATGTTGCTTTGGATGGAAACAATTCTGATCATGCAACTATAATTTGTTGATGATTTTTTTTTATTAGAAAAAAGTTCCAAATACGGAATTTTTGATTCAGGATCGTGTCTGTCGAAAACCGACGTTTTTATTACACTAATCCACCCCCTCAAAAAAAAATAATAATCCATTTTCTGTAATTATGCATATACATACACTCATGGACAACAC